TCTCACTATGGTCACCAACGTGTTTGCGTCAAAAGTTGGTTTATTTGTTGAATCCATTACATGTTTATCGATTATAATGAATTCAAAAGAGTTAGTCTTTTTATAAGACTTCTCACTTACACAAAAAAAATACAACTCTCTTTAGACATACACAGAGGATGTTTATCACCCGCTACTTACGTAGGATCTTTGCTTATGCTGGGGTTTATCCGTGGACCATTACGGATCAGATCCGGTGGATTAGAATAAAAGATCAATGCTCTTACTTCACAAAGATCAATGCTCTTACTTCACAAAAGAAACATTAGGGCGACGAGATGAGGTGGCAGATTCGATGAGTCGTTCCTTGATGGAAGAGGATCGGTGTTTGATGTTGAGCATTGGTTTGCAGAGGAGTTCTGGTGTTGAGGCTTCGACATATTGGAACCATCTTATTTACAGGTTGTCGTCTGTTGCGATTGGAGTATTTGGATTTGGTAGAGCTACTTTAGATTTTAGGTTGCTTCAGATATTTGGTTGCCCAGCATATTGTCACATCCAGGATGTGAAATTTGATCCGAGCGCACATTTGGTATTCAGAGTCATGTTTGGTTATCAGGTATTGGACTCTAATATTGTTCTGAGCAAGTATGTCACATTTGACTCTCGGTAGGTGGAGAGTATTGGACAGATCATTAGGATATCGTAGCAGGTGGAGAGTGATGCAGGTTGGGGATCATGTTGATGTGGATGCAGATTATGAGTTGGTTGATTCGAGTGCAGCTGGTGGACACGGTTCAGATTTGGCTATGGCCATTGGTTTATCTTAGGCGGAGGTGTTTGGTTCGTTACACTTTGAAGCAATTGAGAGAGTTATTAGTTGCAGATTTTTTTGGTGATGACCGTGAATGTTTAAAAGTCCTTCTAGTTGATTAAGGGCCTTTGGAGGCAATTTGGTGAACTATATGAGACTTGATTCTTTGTGCAAGAGGATACGTAGGCAGTAATTTTTTGGTGCAGCTGATTTGGTGAGTTGATACCGATGTTTGGAGTTTGTTCACATTCTCATTTGGGTTCCTAACTTATTGTGGATTAAGTCTGTTATCGTGAATTTGTTTCACTTTGTACTGCATGCAACAAGTGGAACATTTGGATTGGTTGGTCTTGGCTCAGTTTTAGGAAAACATCGACGAGATGGAGAATTGTAGAATTGGCGACACAGCGACGAAGTTCAGAAAATATAAAGTAGGAAATAATTTGGGTGTTGTTCGGTCGACCACGAGGCAAGTTTGGTCGATCGGAAATGTGCACACTATAGGCTTTTGTTTCAGGCACTTTTGTGGTCGACCAAGGTAAAATGCCAGTCGACCGACGTCACTATCCGGTCGACCGATGGGTAATTCCGGTTGACCAATACAGGGTTTGAATTTAGAGCTGATTTTCGTGTTCTGGTCGGTCGATCGCAGCTTCAAGGTCGGTCGACCGGATCTGGATTTTAAGCCTGATTTGGTTTACTGATCTTTTTTGGATTGGTGTTTAGTATAAATACAACATATATTTTAGGGTTTCGGGAGCAGTCAAGAGTTTGTTTTGAGCACAGAAAAAGAGTTTTTCTGAGCTATTGGTTAGGGTTTTGTTTGTGAGATTGAGAGCTTTGTGTGAGAGATTAGTTTGTAGATTTGTAATCTCTATTTATAATCTTCTTCTCTATTAGTGAAAACCCATACCCTTCTTGCCCAGTGGACGTTGGAAACTTGCTAAGCCATATAAATTTGTTTGTTTGTGTTTGTGCTATTATTATGATTGTGTTTGGCCTTCTCTCTCGGTGTTTGGTTTGTCCTCAGCGCCCCAACAAGTGGTATCAGAGCCCAACAACTCATTACATATCTTTGCCAAGGGGGAAGCCAATGAATAACTAAATCCAGAACCTGATATAAAAAATGGTTATGAAGTTTGAGCATACATCTTTTTGTTTTTATCAATCCATCATTCCCGTAGACAGTCAAAATGTATTTTTACCTAGGCTAATGATCAGCTTGGATTCATGAAGTGAACACCCATAGGCTAAACACTTCAAATGGGTCCAAAGTCAAGCCCATAATAAGCTGCAGCGAAGATCGCCTGATGCTTGAAGCGAACCTTGCCAAACAGCCCATATCGACTCGACTCGACCAAATCAACAGTGAGTCGACTCCCAAAATACGCCGCAGGCCGAGTCGAAAGGCATTATCAGTTGGCCAAACCTAGAGTCAAATTATGTGTCAAATTCAAACTCATGGGTGATGTTCTCCAGCTAATGAATTCTGTGTGAAATTCGAACTTCACCGGATAATGAATTCTGTGTCAAATTCAAACTCATGGGTGAAGTTCACCAGTCGCTCATGTCAACTCAAGTGGATCAAGTCATCTACTTCCAAAGAAGACTCGCCCACGTCCACAGCGACCCTCGCTCATGACTTCAATGACATCCTCCCACATCTTCAGTGAACTTCACCAAGCCTATGAAACCCACCAAATAGCTATTTTAGGAGCTATTTTTGGGGAATAATCATTCCTCATTATCTCCTATTTTAGTGGCCACTTAATTCACGATCAATGGGCCATTAACTCTCTCTTTTAGTCTATAAAAGAAGGAGATCATTTATTCAAAGAGGATTCGAGAATTGGGAAAATTTTAAGAAGGTCTATCCATCTAAGAGATCAAACCAAATCCGAGAGAGATCAACTCACACGCAGAGAGAGATTCTTATCATCGCATTGGCGATTCAATCAAGTTAAAGTGTCAAGAGAGGACTAAGCTATCTTCCAAACCACTAAGCTTGTACCCACAACAAGAACCCTAAATCTTAATCGGTGCGTCAACGGAGTACAAAATAGACATTCTATCGGTACACAGGAAATAATCCCCGGGAATAATAACTTTTTCCTTCGTTTTATTTTTATTATTTCTATTATAATCCGAGATAATTACAATATTAAAAGAACCAGAAATAGATCCAAGTTTAAGTTTGCAATTTAAAACTTTGGTCTCACTGTGGGCCTGCAATATACAAGAAAGGATAAAAGAAAAATCCAACATAAATTTCAATTTTGGCACCCCAAAAAACTTAAGTGTCAGCTTCACTAGCAGACTATTTTTTCACATGATGAGATAAAGGAATAACTATTGGATTATTAGCGTATTAAGTCAAGAGCCATTGATAGGATAAAATCCATATTTAAATTTGAAGAAACCATATAAAGAAGTCAAAAGAACATAGAACTTTATTCAATAAAAGTTGTACTTTCTTAAATTCTATTGTGTTTCTTCAAGTGATCGTCATATATAGAATACAATTCCTATTTATCCAATGTATACACATCAAATTTTCTTAGTGACAAAAACCTCATATGAAATCATATTACTTCTCAATAATATATTATGTTAACAATGAATATCCACTCAACAACAACTTTGTCTTTGTGTAGTTATATTGCTAATACATATTTAATTTCTAACTTATAATTATATTAACAATGAAATGGTTGGTAAATATTAATTCATTATAGTGTGTTAATAAATAGGTTTACTCTACCTTATAATTTTTAAAATATATTCAACAAATTAAAAGGGTTATTTACAGGAAACTAATTAGTGAATATGTGAATTCGATTACAATAATTTTTATAATTTACTATATGATAATTACTAAATATATAAAATTATATTATAATTTTTTATCTCATTATATATGATTTAATTACTATAATAAAGGTTCTATTGATTACTTGCACTCAAATTATACTTAAGCAAAACTAATATTTAATAAAATTTACTTTCAAGACTAAACTTTTATATAGTCAGAGTAAATAAATTAAATATGAAAATAGATACATGTGCAATGCATGTGCACCATACTAGTATGCTTAAAATATTCCTTCACGGATAATGGGGGTGGACTAAACTAATCCCAGAGAAATAAGGTAAATTAGTAAATATGATAATTATTTTACTTTTTGGTGTTTATTTTTGTTTTTGCATTTTGATTTTGCTCTTATTTTTCCCTCCTTATAAAATGTGCTAAGATTTGGATTGTATAGGAAGACCCTTTGGTGCCAAAAATACTCATGTGTCCTTGGAAGTTGGAAGTTGTCAAAGATGTAAAAGAAAAATCAAGATGATATTGTAAGTTACGGAAGCAAGAAGAGTATATACAACTTAAAGAGAATTTTTCCTCCAATGATTTTAATTTTATAATTATCAGTGAAATTGGATTTCTTGATTTAAGTATACATATTTCATGTTCTTAGATTAAAACAGGACTCCTTTTACTCTAAACATTCAGAGAAAAGCTTTTTTCAGCAAAAAAAATTGTTAAACCAAATTCACTAACGCAACTCGACTGTCCCTTTTCATATCGCTTGTACACCCTCTCAAATTATGGACCTTCTCAAAAAATATATATTTGTGCACTACTATGAAGGGACATAAATCTAAAAGCTTTTCATACCGATGACTACTTTATAACTTGGATTTCCCCCCTAGAAACCACCTTAATAAGAGGGTAGTTGTACAGAATGTATCTTTCATTTTTAATTTATACATAACCCGCATTTAAAGTTGGTTTTTGTTACCATCAATCATGTCCTAGTCGAATTTTCACTAAAAACTAAAAAATTGACATAAAAATTCAAGTTCAAGGTACGTGACCTGTATCCTAACAAGACCTAAACACTAACAAATTGAGTCATGTACATTGAATGTGAGTTTTTTAAGGATAATTTTGGATTTTGAATGAAGAATTTGACTAGGAGGTGATTGATTGCAATAAAAGCTAACTTTACATGTGGTTTATGTATAAATTGAAAATGAAATGTAGTTTCCGTGTATTACCATATTTTCAAGGTTGTTTCTATGGGGGAAAACCTTATAACTTTTGTCATTCATATTGCCAACAGAAAATCACAAAAATAGAGGGGAAAGAAGACTTATTAAAGCCTTTAGCAGCATATACAGAGAACAAATCATAGACACATCAGAATTGATTAAGATAGTCATATGCCAATTCATTCATTTCATTGTCATAGATGGATTGTCTATAGATCACTACTACATGACGAAATCTGCTAATTGAAGTTATTCATACATGACCAAACTTTATTCTCTCTCTCTCTCTCTCTCTCTCTCTCTCTCTCTCTCTCTCTACATAGAATCCATCGTGATCGTCTTATTCAACACGCGTTCTCCCATAGTGCTTATGGAACCACAACACCTGAAAACATTACCAGGCATCAACAAATCTACTTAAATGTTCAATAAAAATATCAGAAAATGATTAAAAACAAAACTTTTACTTCACTTACTTCCACAGTGAGTTCCATGAGGGAGAGGATGACCACAGAAGCTAGCCACCATGATTGCCAGAGGCACACTAATATTGTTCTCGGTATCAGGAGTAACCTTCGAGCATGCACAGACAAGATCAGCCTGCGCGATAGTCTGGCAACAGTCATCAGATGGGAGAAGTGGTTCTATGCCTTTCTTCGCAAACGCAGTGCACTTGTCGCTCAGCTGAGTCCAGTCGTTGTCGCAGGCTGCAGTGGCATTATCAGCGAAGAGAGAAACTGCAACAATAGCAAAGGCTACGAGCAAAAAGGAGCTGTTGGGACTGGCCATTTCTTAACTTATGAGTTTCTGATCTGTGTTTTTTTTTTTGTGTTTTGTTCCCAATTGGTGAATGGTATTTATAGAGGAAAATAAGATGTTGGGAATAGAATCTGTTTGAGAATTGTTTCATGGTATTTGCATGATTTAGGATTTTAAGGCTGCATCATGCTAGCAGTGTGAACTAATTTCCAAAGGGAAACAGAAACATGTGTTTATATCATTTTCTGGTACTATTTTACTTGGTGTCTTATTGTAGAGATGTTTTTACCTAGGAATGATTTGTGTATAGGTGTCAGATATCATTTACTTTAATAAATGCATGATCTATATCTATATCTATCTATACCTATATCTATATCTATACTTCTATAGAAAGAGGATTGGGGTGCTAAAACTTTTAAGTTCCTTTTTTGCCATCTCAAATTTTAAAAAATTCTAACTATGCCATTATCCCTAATTAATCTTTCATTAAATAAATATAACCTCTTATTGACTCTGCACCTCCTCACCTTTCTAAATAATTATGATTATCAGTAATTTTATAACTATTAACTGTTAAAAATAATATAATAAAATAAGCATACACAATTATTAGTAGTAACCGATTAAATTATTATTATAATAATTACCTATGAATTATAATAAAATAATCAAAATGATAGTACAAATTGAATAATATATTACTAAATACTATTGAGAATTATACAACAATTCAATGAGCAATAAAATAAATAGAATAAATATTTAATCACATAAATAGTGTAATTATTTTAATAATATCACATAAATTTTGAATTAAACTATTTGTTTATATTATATTATTAAATAAATAATTTAATATTATTTTTGAGTATTTTCTCAAAGATTATTACATAAAACTAGATAACCTATACTTGGTAATGATTGAAAACAAACATGTTTAAAAAATTTTAATATTAATAATAGTACTATTAATTGTTAGTGATAGTATAATATTAGTAATAGTACTATTATTTAATATTTAATATTACTTGAACTAAGAATTATAATATTAAATAATATAAATTAGAGTGAACCCCCATGAACTTTCAGCATTTCTTAGTAAATAGACCCTATGAACTTTCAAAATCACTAAAATTCTAATAATTTTTGTAGAAAGTCTCCAATATATTTTAGATAAATTATACAATTTTATTTTAGAATAATTTTAGATTTTAGGGACTTATTTAAAAAAATGTTAGCACTGAGCGAACCATTACAAGAAAAACATTCAATTATAATAACTATACAATAATAATTAATTCATATATTTCTTTTTAAGCAATCTTATTATACAATTTTATTTGTTAACATATAGCTTTACTATTCAATCAAAAATTGGAAACTTAAAATATGTAAGTTCACATGCAAAGCACGTCTATTACACTAGTTTCCTGAAATATTTGATATGCACAAGGTTGTTTAGTTGGGAGAAAATAGAGGTGCAATGGTAAGGGTGGAAATATACCAAATATTTAACAAATAGTTTAGTATTTACTTGCTTAAGTATTCAGTCATATTCAATTCTATAATTTAGTTAATAATAAACGAATAGTTTTAAACATTCAGTTTACTATTGATGGCAATTACTGACTAATTGGCTGACTGATCAAGGAACAAGGGAAGATGCCATGCTATGAAGGAGATCGCTTCTATGATTGGTGTCTGACCAGCAAAACTCATGCACATTTACTTGGACCCTGCCTATGCTCTTTCTTGACATGTCCTACTCTTAAGGTTGAACTAAACAAATAGAAGCTAACCACATGTATAATCAATTTGTTTGTTTAATAAACTTTTTTTATATATTACATTTATACCTATAAATTTTAGTTATTATATTTTCTATGCAACCCAAAAGTTTTTTATGCATATATTGCCTCGTTATCCTAGCAAGTATAAAATACAACAAGATATGTGAGCTAGGATAAGCAATATGAACAAGGGATATATCCTAGCAATGAGATATACTATGAGTTATATGCAAGGATATGAAACTAAGGGTGATATAAACATAAATAAGATAGACAAGATAGTGGATAATATGAACTAAGAGTAAATGACAATGGCGATATAAGATATGAGCATGAATATAAATGAACGCCAAAGCACACTCAAACACACTATATGATCACGGGGTTCGGACCTTCCGTCCTACGTCTCCGCTCCCCACTCCCGGGGAGAATCTACTATCACAACCGGGTTTTCTACGTTCACCCGAATAATGTTTACAACCACACTATGTCGGTTTTCAACGCTCACCGAACAACATTCACTCCCCACACTCGGTTTTCTAGTTCACCGAAAACTTCACAACACACTCGGTTTTCTAGCTCACCGAAAACCTTACAATCTCACAATGTAACAAATATAAATTTGTTCTCTACAATAGATGAGAACTCAATTAAGCACAACTCAAAGTTACAATCTCTCACAACCCTATTATACTATGTATGCAAATACAATCAGCTCAAGTGAGTGTGTGTAACAATGAGATAAAATCAAATTAACTAAACTCAAATATAAAATCTAGCTTAAGAAAAATGATAATCAAACAAGTATATAAATGTAAAGCTAGAGTTTGAGTTTAGAAAACTTCTCAATTGATAACAAGAGATGGATGGAGGATGGTTGGAAGCTCAAACTTCAATAGATAATCTCCTCAAGCTCTTGTGGAATTGATTCACAAAACCGAAACACTCAAATGCTTAAAAACTTCTTAAAACAAACTTAAACAAACACTAAACAAGTTTAAACCCTTGTTAAATTTTTTTAAACCATTCTCTTAGATTACTTAGTTAGAACTGAGGTAAGAGGGGTATTTATAGAAACCCCAAAGCCAAGAGAAAGCCAAGAAAAAGACAAAAAAACCACTCTACAACGGCTCAAAAAATAGCCGTTGGAACTGAGTTGACAGTGCGGCGGTCGACCGGTACGGTCGACCGCGAACAATGAAAAACAGAACAAAAACTTCCAGACAGTTCGTCGGTCGACCGCACTGTAGCGCGAGGGGTATTTATAGAAACCCCAAAGCCAAGAGAAAGCCAAGAAAAAGACAAAAAAACCACTCTACAACGGCTCAAAAAATAGCCGTTGGAACTGAGTTGACAGTGCGGCGGTCGACCGGTACGGTCGACCGCGAACAATGAAAAACAGAACAAAAACTTCCAGACAGTTCGTCGGTCGACCGCACTGTAGCGCGGTCGACCGCGGATACTGTAGCAGTTACATCCAGCTTTATAAAATCAGTTAAAAATAGTAAAACAGATCCAAAATTTATGAAATTTTGTGGGAAGGTTCTAGACATGTAGAGTGACATTTTAGAGAAAGAATTTCTGAAAAAGCATTTCCCAGTTGAGAGAAATAAATGTTTGAACATAGAAATAGAGTTTCTGAAAATCTGCTGATATACACGATTTTGTAAAATTAATTGGACACAGTAAATCAACTCCAAAAATAGTAAAATTTTGAGTCAAGTTTCTAAATATGTAGATAAACATGTCAAAGAAAGAATTTATTGAATATCACTTTCCATTTATGAAAACTCATCTGTTTTGTAAAACATGCACGAACATGTGCACAAACAAAAACATGATTTTGTAAATTCCATTAAACATAACAAATCAATTCCAAACTTGATGAAACTTTGCGAAATGTTTATAAACATGAAAACAAACATGTTAGAAAAAGAATTTCTCAATTTTCATTTCTTAATTGTGAAAACTCATTATTTTGTAAAAACATGCATGAATATGAATTTGTTAAGAACATGTTTTTGACAAAAAGAGTTTAAACGCATATTGAAACTTTATGAAATGTCTTCATAAACATTATAACACATGAATATAAAGTAAACATGGTCAATAAAACAATATCACAAAGTTTTCTCAAAATAGCTCGTTTTTGTGAGAAAATCCAATATTGTGTGTGTGTATATGATATTGAGCTTAGAGTACTTAACACACATAATATAAAATCTAAACTAGATTACCCAAGCTTGGTCTTGATCTTCATTGTAGATCAACTTGGTACACATGTGGATAAAGCTTGAAATTGATCTTTAACTTTGAATTGCAAGGCCTCAACCCGACATTCGGCCAACCTCCATTTGATATGATCGTTATGGCGCAATCCATCCAACCTCCAACTCGTTGTTTGCCTAGAAAAAATACGAAAACACAAACACTAGACAAACAATATTAGAAGTAAATTGTTTGTTAAACATCATCAAAACAAGAAGGCCAACAATCTCCCCCTTTTTGATGATGACAAACAATTTACAAAAAGGATATATGCATGAAAGGAAATGAATATACAAAGTATAATATATCATGCATATAAGCAAGAAATGATATACTCACAATATTTCTCCCCCTTTGATAACATCAAAAAGGGGACAAAAAAATTAAGAGAGCGAAAGCTTCCCCTACCAATATGCATGGGTGAGTATAATATATATATATATATATATATATATATATAGGGATTGCTCCCCCTATCAAAAAGCCATATAGAATATAGACAAAGAAAGATCATGGCAAATATGTGAGCAAGCATAAATGAAAAGATATGCTAAGCATCACTCACATACAAACAAGATACAATGAGGACACATAATGATATGACATTATAAAGATAGTGTCTCATTATAAAAACCATGTAAGAATAGATTTATGAAATCAAAAGAAGAGGAACATGAGAAACATGCAAAAAGTTTTCAAATGAAAACAAATCAACCAAAAGAAATCATAAATCAAAGTTTAAAT